TGCTTGTCTAGTCCTTATTAGTGCAGATCGAATGCTATCGATCATGTTGCAATGTGGCCACCAGTCTAGGTGACTCGACACTGCGGGCACTATGTATTGAGATTAGATGGTGGTTGGAGGTAGTCAACAGGAAACCCTGGACCCGGGTTTCGTGCTACTTGGCACTCGTCAGCAAGGTGTACCTGTAATCTTTAGGGAACTGGTGCTCCCTGGCGGATTCGATCTCGTGTCACCCAGCTTCACAGTCAGAGACGTTACCACTGAGCTATCCGAGCCGTGACTGACCTCCTGTAGGACTGAGATGTAATCACAATTGATTGATCACTGGGTGGTGATCAATGTCATGCTTGTCTAGTCCTTATTAGTGCAGATCGAATGCTATCGATCATGTTGCAATGTGGCCACCAGTCTAGGTGACTCGACACTGCGGGCACTATGTATTGAGATTAGATGGTGGTTGGAGGTAGTCAACAGGAAACCCTGGACCCGGGTTTCGTGCTACTTGGCACTCGTCAGCAAGGTGTACCTGTAATCTTTAGGGAACTGGTGCTCCCTGGCGGATTCGATCTCGTGTCACCCAGCTTCACAGTCAGAGACGTTACCACTGAGCTATCCGAGCCGTGACTGACCTCCTGTAGGACTGAGATGTAATCACAATTGATTGATCACTGGGTGGTGATCAATGTCATGCTTGTCTAGTCCTTATTAGTGCAGATCGAATGCTATCGATCATGTTGCAATGTGGCCACCAGTCTAGGTGACTCGACACTGCGGGCACTATGTATTGAGATTAGATGGTGGTTGGAGGTAGTCAACAGGAAACCCTGGACCCGGGTTTCGTGCTACTTGGCACTCGTCAGCAAGGTGTACCTGTAATCTTTAGGGAACTGGTGCTCCCTGGCGGATTCGATCTCGTGTCACCCAGCTTCACAGTCAGAGACGTTACCACTGAGCTATCCGAGCCGTGACTGACCTCCTGTAGGACTGAGATGTAATCACAATTGATTGATCACTGGGTGGTGATCAATGTCATGCTTGTCTAGTCCTTATTAGTGCAGATCGAATGCTATCGATCATGTTGCAATGTGGCCACCAGTCTAGGTGACTCGACACTGCGGGCACTATGTATTGAGATTAGATGGTGGTTGGAGGTAGTCAACAGGAAACCCTGGACCCGGGTTTCGTGCTACTTGGCACTCGTCAGCAAGGTGTACCTGTAATCTTTAGGGAACTGGTGCTCCCTGGCGGATTCGATCTCGTGTCACCCAGCTTCACAGTCAGAGACGTTACCACTGAGCTATCCGAGCCGTGACTGACCTCCTGTAGGGCTGAGATGTAATCACAATTGATTGATCACTGGGTGGTGATCAATGTCATGCTTGTCTAGTCCTTATTAGTGCAGATCGAATGCTATCGATCATGTTGCAATGTGGCCACCAGTCTAGGTGACTCGACACTGCGGGCACTATGTATTGAGATTAGATGGTGGTTGGAGGTAGTCAACAGGAAACCCTGGACCCGGGTTTCGTGCTACTTGGCACTCGTCAGCAAGGTGTACCTGTAATCTTTAGGGAACTGGTGCTCCCTGGCGGATTCGATCTCGTGTCACCCAGCTTCACAGTCAGAGACGTTACCACTGAGCTATCCGAGCCGTGACTGACCTCCTGGATGGTCCAGGATTTCCTGTTGACTACCTCCAATCACCATCTAATCTCAATACTAGTGCCCGCAGTGTCGAGTCACCTAGACTGGTGGCCACATTGCAACATGATCGATAGCATTCGATCTGCACTAATAAGGACTAGACAAGCATGACATTGATCACCACCCAGTGATCAATCAATTGTGATTACATCTCAGTCCTACAGGAGGTCAGTCACGGCTCGGATAGCTCAGTGGTAACGTCTCTGACTGTGAAGCTGGGTGACACGAGATCGAATCCGCCAGGGAGCACCAGTTCCCTAAAGATTACAGGTACACCTTGCTGACGAGTGCCAAGTAGCACGAAACCCGGGTCCAGGGTTTCCTGTTGACTACCTCGAACTACCATCTAAAGACTAGAAGCCGCTATATTACCAGTGATCAAACCAAAGATTTTGATTCGTTATGTAGACGACACCTTCGTCATCGTCAAAAAGAATGAACTTGAAAACACTTACAAACTGATCAACAACGTCTTCGATGACATCAGGTTCACCATGGAACAGGAGTCAAACAACAAACTAGCATTCTTGGATATATTGATCACTAGAACCGACACAGGAAAACTGGAAACTCAAGTATATAGGAAACCGACCCATATAGATCAAATTCTCAACTACAATAGCAACAACCCCAGAGCTCACAAAATCAACTGCGTGCACAATTTGTTCAAGAGGGCGAGAACACACTGCGGCACACTGGCAGCACGAAGAAATGAAGAGAAATACCTGAAGGATGTATTTCAGAAGAACGGCTACCCAATCAACTTCATCAAAAAGTACCAACCGCACGCAGCATTAGAACTCAAGCCAAGCACAAAAATCAACAAAAGGATTACCCTACCATATATACAAAGAATATCAGAAACCGCAACAAGACTACTGAAAACCTTCGGAATAGGTGTAGCACACAAACCGACAAAATCACTACAATCAATCCTATGCAAACCAAAAGATGAAATAACAAAGGAAAACAAATCAAACATCATCTACAAAATAGATTGTGCCAGCTGCGAAAAACACTACATCGGACAAAGCGGACGCCCCCTTCACCTGCGCCTACATGAACATCAATTAGCAGTCAAAAGGCATGATATCTCTTCACTTATATCAATACACGCGGACAACTGCGGACACTCATTCGATTGGAAAAATATGGAAATCTTAGACAGAGGAAACTCCAAAAACACCAGAGAATTTTTAGAAGCCTGGCACTCAGGTCAATCAGCAATCAACAAGCCTATTGAAATCAATCCAATTTATCAGCCAATCAGAAAAATCATGCACAAACATAAGAACAAAAATCAAAACAATGGGAGACACAACCAAAGCAAAGAAGTAAACAATGACAAATTTAAGGTCAATAAGAACCAATCAACATCGAGGTGCACAGAACAAGCTTTGAAACACATATGGAGAAATTCGAACACTTCACTTCTATTCGAAGTTTGTGCTGATGATGTCGTTCAGAAGAACGATGAAAGCTCCACGACCAAACCATCCAGCTCAGAGAACAAAACTCCACCAAAATCATCCACCTGAGCTACAAATCTTCTCCACCATCTCAAAATACGTGCTCTGTTATCTTTCGTGGTGCTTCAGATAGAGACAGTAACTTTACACGTATTCGTTTGCTTTTTTTGCTTACTCAATTAACTGATGTCAAATAGAGTGTACTTGAATAGTATGTTCGTTTTGGGTGATTCATATGTCGTCTAATTAAATGTTATTTCCTTTTAAGTAGCCAGAAGAAGAAACTAGGTTCGTGATTCTATACTTTTAAACTTGAAAACTCTTACAACGTCATAAGTGATAAAATATGAGAGCGAGAGAGAGAGAGAGAGAGTGGGGTGTCTAATCTGTTAAGTTAGTTATAGAATCGATATGTGAATCGTAATTAAATGTATTTCAGGAAACGAAACTACCTAATTACTAGCTGGATATATATTATAACATTTAAACTGTCATTTATGTACAAAATAAAAATTGGCATTGAAATGTAACTAAACAAAATTATACTTTTGCTTGTTGTTTATGAAAGAATTAATTTCATAGACCAATAAACAATAGCTGAAAGCTATTAACACACTAAAATTTATTCCTATAAATCTCTTTGTCGTGTTAACTTTCTCTCATATTGTGTAACTGACAATGTGAATCAACGAATAATTCACAAATCTTACATTCATAATAATCAACTGACTTACTAGATATACTTTTATATCAAAAGTTCCAAATAATCTCATTATTATCAGAAGGGGTTTTGTGGAGATTGTAGTAATTTCAACAGTTGAGATCATGAGTCAATTGATTGTGTATGCGCACTGCTGAGGAGTCCCACAATAGGACGAAACGGCCGTCCAGTGCTTCCAGGTTTTCCATGGTGGTCTAGCTTCAATTAACTCATGATCTCAACCGTTGAAATCTCATTATGTTATCTGGAGTTACTTTTCGTAATTACATCTTAACTATTTTAATGTTCTTGTTCGGATGATTATAATTCTAAATGATTTTGTTTTCTTCTTTACCTATCATCATGTTGTATACATGAACTTGTAATGTATGGTACTACGTCAAGCCCATATAGGTTACTGTGGCTTCCGAACAGATCGATTTATTCATTATTCTAGAGTAACATTTGACCTTGTCACTTAATCGCTTATTAATTTTGACCATTTTTATATGTGTGTGTGTGTATCGTTTACTCTATTCATCTTAGGTCTTTAGCTTATTTTTGTCTGTCTATAAATATTGAGTCACGCTTGATCAAATCTAGTTGACTTAATCACCTTCTCCGCTTCGCTTCCCGACCATTTACTTTGAATTTCTGTCTGGATGACTGCTTGAAATAAATTCACCCAAAACAACCCGTATTTGGATTCTTATTACTGCCATCACAGAAACGCGGTTAGCCTAGGTAATACACGGAGTTAAATGTAAGATTTATGTTTATAGCATATTCATCGTACGTTCATCTAAATCAGAGTCAGGTCAGCGGAGTACAAAAAAACTTAATACTGTCTGTAAGTATCATTACCAAGGTTTGAATTGATAATTTCGAGTAAATTGAGCATTATTAGATAAATACATTATAAATACATTAATATATTTGTAATATCCCAATAAGTAGAAAAATCAGATTTTCTGACGTTTGTTGACTCAATGTAAGCCACTTCTTCAGAGAATAAATAATCATTATTTGGAATGTTACAAATATATTAATTTATTTAATACTGTCTGTTCAAAACTAATGAACTGTATTATTAATGTTTCGTCAATCTCCTGTTTTGTTTGTTTCAGATTGATTTAAATGGATATGAAAAAGCTAAAGAAGAAGCTCAAATTCGTAGTCAGAGCAGAAAATGTACAGGTGGTTCAATTGTGGATCTTGATGTACATGCATTAGCTGAACTAAAAAGTAAAAATATATCAGTAACAGATGACTCAGACAAATTTGTCTATACATCAGATCTTAATGGAAATTATGGTAATTTCTTTTACTTTCTATGAAACATTTTTTTCTTTTTTTATCGACAGATTTGACTTTTCTTGACTTAATGTAATCCACTTCTTTAAAGTAAATAAATAACCGAATTTACTCTGAAGAATAGAGTTACATGAAGTCACGAAAAGTCAAAAATACAATTTTTCTATTCACTGGGATATGACAACAAAAATTATTATTATCAATAATATAGTTACAGTTTCGTACACTCTTTTGCCTACTTGAGTTTGCTTAGTCACACAATATCACCAATAACCTTCCTACAAATAGTTTGACTCGAAAGTGATTGTGTATATATTTTGAAAGTATATTTAAATCTTTAAAAAACTCATGTTCAAGTTTGTTATTCAGCATATTTATAAACCATAAACTGGTAGATTTTCATAGTGTTCATTAATAAAACTTATATTTTCATATTTCTAAGGAAGTGTTTTTTTGTTTGTGATTATTTTCACACAAAATTGTTGTCTCATCTTCATAATCAATATTTTTCTATTTATATTCTGTCAATTTAGTTTTCCCAGATTCTGAAGCTACAGTTTTAGCTATTCGTTATGAAAATAAATTTGTCGAAAGTGTCGATTCAAGCAATCAAATGTGTGGGATTATTTTGAACAAAACTATATTTTATGCAGAATCTGGAGGACAGTTATATGACCATGGTTTTATAACAAGTTTAACAGATGAGGTAACTAGTCACAATTATTTTTCCTTCTCTCACGAAATAGTGTTTTATTGGTTACATCGTTCGATCATCAACCACTAAGTCCCAGGTCTGAATTCCTCTCCATGTGTTCCACTTCGGGTAACAGGGCAGTGTAATCAGCCTCCACATTTAACGTGTGGCTCACACCCAAATACCTGGCGAATGAATTAATTTATGTATTTTCTAGGTGTTCTCCTTAAAATTAAGATAAATTTACCTAATAATATGGTTTGTTTTTGTTGGGGTGATCCAGAAAACTTGCAAAAGACAAGAAAGGATCAGGGAAACACTAAGAAGCATTTTGTCCAATCAGCCTTCATTTGAAGTTTAGCCCGAAACATCAGGAAAGTGAAAAGTCACATGTAGAGTTTCTGATTGGCTGATTACTATACTTCTAATATGCTTAGTAGTATTCCAGAATTTTCAGGAAACCCAAGTATATCTAAAATACCATAAAATCCTATATTTTCTGTACTAAAACGAACCTTTGAAGTACAGTGCTTCTCATATATTTTGCGCCTTTTCTGTCGTGTTCAGATCGCTGTATAGTTCTAGCTTAAGGGTTATGAGAATAGCTTAGGAACCGAATATAGCGTTCACTTAGCAAGACTTATCAGTTTTATGATCAGTGGAAAAGAAAGGAACATTGGTTTCTGATTATTGTCAACTGATTAATTGACTGGTCGATCATGTACTACTGGTTGGATATTTGTATATAAACAGTAGTGTTAATTGTCTAGTATATATATTTATGAAATAAATGAAATATGTAAGAAATTTCGTCTAAAATAGTTTCACAGTATTTGGGCGCCGAGTTGATATGAGACATTAAAGAGGAAGAATGTATTTGTAAAATCTCAGCGAAAGAATTTGAAGTAAATCCAAGAAAAAAGCTTGGACCAGAATGCCAGGCGAAACGTTGGATTTACTTCGAATTCTTTCGCTGAGATTTTACAAATACATTCTTCCTCTTTAATGAAAGATGATTTGTGCAAAAGTTTGTCATTTTTATTTTTTAATGAATTATACTTCTTGTACAATTAACAGATATCATTTTAATTTATTGTTTTAGGTTACTGAATTTAGCATTTTAGATATACAATGCCGTGGTGGTTATATCTTACATATTGGAACTTTACATGGCAAATTAAATGTTGGCAGCAGAGTACTTCTTTCATTAGATACTGTACGACGTACAGCTTTAATGCGTAATCATACTGGAACTCATGTATTAAATTTTGCTCTTCGTGAATTAGTAGATGAATCAGAACAAAAGGGTAGTTTAGTTGCACCAGACCGTTTACGATTTGATTTTACTGCCAAGGTAAAAATATAAAATATTTGTAAGATACTTTTTCTGGACATTTATTATAAAGATTTATTCAATGCTTTCATTGATTCATTATTAAATGTGTAATAATTATTTACCATTAGAGTAGTCCTAATAGATAGGATAAATTTAATAAATCATTCTATTGGATGAGAAATAGTCATTAAAGTTAAATGAAGACATAAATTTTTATTGAATTTGCGTATTTCATTCAGGAACTAACCGAACCCTAATCAACATCTAAATTTTAACACTGAACTGTTAATCTGTTCACAATAGTAGTTAGGTTATAAACTTATTATTATTCTAAAAGAATATGATTTTACTCGGCAATTAGATGTAATAACAAACTAATACTTTAAAACTATTGATTGACATTAATACTGGAACTGTGTTTTTGTTTCGAATCTCAATTTAATTTTGAAATTATAAACTAGCGCTAATTATTTTTGTTTTGATTTAATCTACAGTTAAGATTGTTTAATGTGCATTAGTTTTTAAGCCTAGGAATTTCATGAAAGTGTTGTGTAACAGACATAAACTATTTGTCTCTAATATTATGATAATTATAAGATTGCATTTACTGATACTGATTTCATTGCCTTTTTGAGAATAGGTTGAGATATATAGTAGTATTCAAAAATTGTATCACAGATTTGATTAGTCATTCTACAAAGTTTTGTGATCGGCTAATGGGATTATCTTCATTTTCTTATTTGATAATTGTTATGTTATTCAATCGTCCCACTCTGATACTGGTAAATCCCTTTTTTTATGTGCATACCCCAACCAAATACTTAACATAAAGTGAATAGTAATGTTTTTATTTCTCAATCGAATCAAGAATATACGTACAATTCATTTATAAATATATATTTTTCCTTTAGGAAATAAAACTACATTTTCAGTCAATAACGTATATGTTCTTCTTTAAAAAATAAAATCGAACATTGAACAATAGCATATACCTGTTAGTTAGTCAGTCAGTCAGCTACAATGTAGGACCAGGTACATATATGCATCGGTCCAAGTTGCCATACCTCATTAACACAACAAGATGGACACCGGATTCATAAAAGTAGTTAATTCAATGGTGGTAATATGTAAAAGAAAGATTGCATATAAGGAAGAAAGAATTAGTTCGTAGAAAGAAAGATATGAAGCAATTTTAATATCTGAGTTTAAGGGAAAACAGAGAGTGTATACACCAACGCCATTGTGATCGATTCTGAGCCATGTCACCAAGAGTTTCCCGACCGTTGTTGCTACCTTGATGTGGTGGTCGGGTTTGCCTATCGTGATGAAGCGACCGAACTATACTGCCTGGAACAACCGTTCCTCAAGGTCCTAACATGTCAGACAGGTCGGTTGAAAAGCGGTAAGACTAAGAGCAACAAACTCAAGGTCCGAAGGCGAAGTCGTACTACTGATTGTATAGAGGCGTGACAGCAGTAAGGTGTTTCCTTCAGACAACCAGCATGACAGCGATGCTGCCCTCTCACAAGGAGAGGTGGGGTTAGAAAAGGTCGACCCTAAAAATGCACACCTCGCCTTATCCCACGGATATCCGTCTCCGGCGGTAAGGTCTCAACAAGTACGGAGCTAACACAAAAATTACTCATAAAACGGTCGGATGTGACCGACCTCAAGCAGTTGTCCCTTGGGCACTGCGATCATGCTCTCAGGTCACCAAGACCACCTCTAATCCAATTTCCTTTTCAGGCACCTTCAGAAGAACCCTCCCACGGTGTGGGCAATCGGGAAGTGATAACCGCCCTCATACCTCTAACAGCACTCAATATACCTGTTAATATCTCATCATTTGGCATATAAGGTATCCTTTCAGACATATTGGTATGTGTCAATAAAACTTCTTGCTTCAAACGTTGTTATTCATATTTTTCTCTGAATTTACAAATGGATATATGTTTTAATCCCATAATCTTCTTTTTTTATTTTTAAGCGGGGTATGACTCGTGATGAATTAGCTAAAGCTGAGGAAATCTGTGATACGATGATAAGCAAACGTTTAAATGTCTATTCATCAAATGTTTCACTGTCATATGCTAAAACTATTCAGGGAGTGCGTGCAGTGTTCGGTGAAGCGTATCCTGATCCTGTTCGAGTCGTTTCTATTGGAGTTCCTGTGACAAGTTTAGTAGCTGATCCAGAAAAGGGATATGGTAAAACTACCTCAGTTGAATTCTGTGGAGGAACGTACGTAATGTTCTTGTTTATGGTTTGTCGTAAATTTGTGTTAATTAGACTAACAAAATTGATTTTTGTTCTATAAATTAGCTGTTGTGAATATAATTGAAAAGGTATCGTTTATAGCTAAATAGTTCACACAACATTGTTTAAAAGATTAAGCTAATCAGTGAATAAACAACTTAGTGGATCAGTGCAGACAGAATAGGTGAACAAGATCCATAGGAGATAATAGAAGTATTCTTTGTATACATATAAATATGCATATAAGGACACAGAGAATAAAGTCCGGAAAGAACCAATGAGGTTCAGAATTTGGAAGTTTGCAATATTTTTGCCACAGAAGAACTAGAGTAAGATAAAACATGGAATGCATCTGTAAGGTTGCGAACAAAATCTTCAACAACTGACTACCACCATGCCATGTACCATAACATGACATCAATTCTTAATCTTCCTTTAGATGTTAAGTGCCAATGTTCCTTGATATGTACGTTTACATTCAGCCATTTCTAACTATTTTTAACATTCGGTCTTCCTCATAATTTTTATCATAATTCAACCGGGTCTGTTGTGAGATAGTAGCTCACTTAAGACAATGTTGGACGGTGGGGCAATTTCGTGGATTGGTTGAAGTTAGACATTAACACCATTGGTTAAGCGCTCGCGCGCGAGACTGGTAGGTCCTAGGTTCAAATTTTGCGGGGCGGGATCGTGGATGGGGATTGTTGGGGAGTCCCATACTAGGATGAAACGGCCGTCCAGTGCTTCGAGGTTTTCCATGGCGGTCTGACTTCAATTGACTCATGAATTCAATTATTAAATTATCTAGACTCCTTTATTATTGATCTTTTTAATTTAATCTTATCGTTTTGATCTAGTAGTGGCAATTTGGACTAAAATACATTTCTACCAGGCTCTATGTTGTTTACAACTGAGTCTGCTTGTGTTTAATGACTAATGAAGTTACTGGGTCGCCCAGACTGAAGTCTGTAGGATAGAGTTTACACTTGTAACCGGTTAGTTGTAATAATTTAATTATTGAACCACGTTGTGTCGAGTTTTGTCTTGATGCTTAAACATTGCACTGTACCACAATAAAATTCAATGTACAATATTTCACTCACTCGATTTTAATCTGAACAACCAATTACTATCACTAACCCTGACTCCATGGTCTGTAAACTAAAGTAAGCTAATGATTTATGACTGACAATTCACTTTAATACCTTTTATGAACTGAGTGTTAAATTTGTTTGTGAAAACAGCAAATCATTAACAGATTACTTTTTTCATCTTCTGGTATTTTTCTTTCTCTACAGTCATGTTCTTAACACTAAACATATTGGAGTTTTAGTGATTGTTAGTGAGGAGGCCATATCTAAAGGTGTTCGACGTATTATAGCTCTTACTGGTCACGAAGCTGAACGTGTAAGTGCTCACATCAAGTTGCATATTGTCATTACTATCGCATGAAATTAGTGTTTTTATTGTCGTGTTTTTGTGTGGATATTTGCTTTAAATATGAGGCTGTTTAATCAATGAATCAGTGGTGGGTATTGGGTCATAACGTAGAGATATGTTCGTATCTCTCTGTATACTACTCAGCTACCTTACTCGTTTAAACCTTGAGTCAGAACACGGTTGAACAGAAACTAAATTATATTCCAAATAAACAAGTTGAATGGAAGTAACAATCACAGTGCGAAAACTTTTGGTTAATCTATCATTTACACGCAAGAATATTCTCAAGTCTTCTAGCGATGATTAGCTCATTCTTAGTTAATCAGTGTGCCCCTATATTATTCCATCTATGATCTGCTAACAAGATGTCTCTTTGTGACTGTGTTTAGAGTTCTCGGAATTTGTATTCAATAGTTTTTTAAATCTCTCTTGTTATCCTTATACATTGGAATATATTTACCATTGTTAGTTTAAGTATGGGTTGTTATATCTAAAAAGAGTTTGATCAACTGTTGCATTGTGGTGTGTACTACTTATGTTGACGGACATAAGTGGTTTGTAACATCAATCAGAAATGAAATGCTTGGGAGCAGAAGATTGAGAAGATTGAATTGAAGAGAACAGGAAGGTAAACAGAGAGTAACTTTAATAACAAAAGAATTGAAAGAATCATGAAGCATGCAAATGACAACTGAAAAAAGATGTGAAAACGAGGTTTTTAATGTATGGTTTTTATACTTTTACCAAAGTATTCTGTAATTTTACATTAAATAATAAATTGATCTTCCACACCTTCATTCTCATTCACTACATTATGAATAGTGCAAAGTTAGCAAACAAGTTTGTGTATAGCCTTAACCTACCTATTAAGAATGTTCGCAATTTTTTTATACAATGTACTTGGGTCAATATTATGATGGTGACCTTCAGAGAAAGTAAAGATTTTTAACTGAGCTTGGAGATTATTGAGATTTTTTTTCTATTCAACAAAATGTCTTTTTGTATAGTTCTTTCAACTTTCAATGTTTCTTTTGGGAATAAAATTTTCCTTTTTGTGATACTATGACTCTCAACGGAGTCAATCTGTACAGATCGTTTGATCAAAAACGAATTTTAGGTTAAACGGGAAAATCACTTTGTTAAATGTATAAGTGGCGGTAATGTCTCTTACGGGCAACTAATAACCCCACGTTCTGACAACTGTTTTTCTTTTCATCCAGTACCCACTTCAAATACCAAAGACATCAATTGTCTTGACAACTTTCGGCATTAATAAAACGTTTGATTGTATAAATGGAGTATATCAGCTACTATTAAAAAGAATCCATTGACCAATATCGCTATCTTTGGAGCTTAAAGATGAAAACATAAATTGTTAGTTTATAAACAACATCGAGTGAATCACTAAACCGATTTCCATACCATGGTGGCTCTTAGGCCAATTTTTTTACTGTTACAATATCAACATAACCGGAATCGAAATATTTAGAAAAAACCATTTAACGCAAACTAACATAGAATTTATTCAGTGAATTTAAACAATCAATAAAGATGTGGTTGACTGGAAATGCAATGATGAAATACTATAATAAGGAGTGGCTTTAACACCTGTCAATAAGGGGGAAGAAGTTATTAAGATTATGATGGAGAATGATCGACCAGTGATATATTTTTAAACAAGTCGATGGATCAATGAGTTGTGCATTTCCAGAAACTGATTAACAGACCATTTTCTTCACCGGAGCCATCGTTAATCACTTAGATCGGGTCAAACGATGAGATAGTGCAAAGAAAACTATGTTCAATGAAAATACAATAAATCATATTTTAGGAATATCTAACTATTATCAAAGTAATCATGAAAATATCTTAACATAATTTATTGTAACTCATTTACCAGGCACAGTTTTATGAAATTGGGTATAATAGACACTTTTTATGTGAAGGCTAATAACACATACAATATTTGATTATTGAGTTGTAGTCGGTATCATGTTTGCTTAGTCTTTAGCGTCAACTAGATTCTATTTGTGAAGTTCCAGTGTCGCCACTCGTGTAAGTGAATCGAGATCACGTGCACTATTTTGATATATAAGATGGTGGATGGAGGTAGTCGATAAAAATTGATAGACCTGGGTTTCGTGCGACCTGACATTCGTTAGCAAAGCATAATTGGTATTTAAAGGGAACCAAAACTTTCTGATGGTTCTGGACTTCGGTCACTCAGTTTCGAAGTTTTAACAGTTACAACTAAAATATTCGGGCCTCGATTGACTGTGAAGCTACTGAAACTAGTGACTATATTGAAGCTTGGTCCATAGGGGTCAATCAGTGTTAAAGAATAGACAAAATTGACATTAGTCACTGCTCAACGACTAATCAGTGCAAATATTTCAGCCCCATAGGATGTCGGTCACGGTTTAAATAGCTCATTAGTAATATCTCAGCCTAATATTAAACCTAAATCTATGTTTTCTTGCTAATTACCTCCAACTACCTATCCCCATGTCTCGTATTATTAACTGTATGTTTATGCAAAAAATAAATGGAATAGTATTACAACTGGCTACCTGTAGGTTAAAAGACGCATACTTTAACCACTACTCAGAATTTTGAGAAATTATATTTCGGTTCATTTTGTTTCCTTGTTATATTACCAAAGGTTTGTTAAATGAAATATATATCCTACTTAAATATACTTTGTAATCAGTTCATTTTGTAATGTTTACATTTTATTATTTTATAAAATTATCTCACACATTTCTTCTCTACTAAAATCCAATTCATCATTTTAAAGGCACAAAAAGAAGCTTTACGTCTTGATAATGAAGTTAATGAATTAATTCAATTTGTGAATAAATCAATTTCTCTTAGTCAAAATAATAATGTAACTGATGACTTCAATATTAATCAACAAATATCCAATTTATCAGAACTTGTTTCACGCGCCGTTATCAGTCAACATCATCGAGAAAATTTACGTGAAAAATTGTTTGAAGCAAAAAAATTATTAGATGCACGTGATAAAGCATCGAGAACAGCGACTACTTCTAAGGTTCAAGTTTCTTTTTTTTTCTAAAATCCCCTTGTTATTGTGTTTTTCTTTTGTTATTATTATTAATATTATTTTAATAGTTGAGATCATGAATCAATTGAAGCTAGACCACCATGGAAAAACTAGAGGCACTGGACGGCCGTTTCGTCCTACTGTGGGACTCCCCAGCAGTGTGCGTCCACGATCCTGCCTCGCGAGATTCGAACCGGAAACCTACCAGTCTCACACTCGAGCGCTTAACCGTTAGACCGCTGAGCCGGCTAGTATTCAACGGTGTTAATGTCTAACTTCAACTATTCCATGAAATTAAGCCACCGTCCACCACTGTCTTCAGTGAGTTGATATCTCACAACAGACCTGGTTGAACTCCACTGGTAACGGCTTCTCACTAGAACTCTAGGAAATGCCTCTTGAAGTCAGTCACCAGTGAGCATATGTTGATTATTATCAGAAGAGGCTTTGTGGGTATTATAATAATTTTAATAGTTGAGATCACGAGCCCTGGGTTCGAATCTCGTGAGGCGGGACCGTGGATGCACATTGCTGAGGAGTCCTATACTAGGACGAAACGGCCATGCAGTGCTTCCAGGTTTTCCATGGTGGTCTAACTTCAATTGACTCATGATCTCAATTATTGAAATTTCTATAATATCCACAAAAGCCCTTCTGATATTATTATTTAAAAGTGTTCTAGTAGAGTTTTATGGAAGGTTTTATTTTATTTTTTAATGACAATGTCCATTACAATCTAACATCAACGGAAATAGTATTAATTTTAACATGAAGCACATGGACTAACTATTTCATTTTAGATTGAAACTTCAGTATCGCGTATAACTCACTTTCATGTTTTGCAGTGCTACGTTCGAAGAGATTACGATATTACTTAAAACAGGCGAACGGAACGACATCAGCAACACAACTACAGAATAAGCTAAACTATTCCACTCTGCCCCCAGCCCTGTTAACTAGAGGGAGAAGATCAAATTCAACCGAGGGAAAAATATGTCCCACATGCAGTAAGAAGCACGAACGAACCAGCACACAACTCATGCGTATTTATATAGTTCAAAACGTCACAAAGTAGCGTACTGAAAGAGGGAACGAACGAATGACGTTTGAGGTCATTCGAAGTGGGAAATATAAACTAAAGGTAAAAGTGGGTGCTTTAGAAGCAAAAGTGAGAAATTCAGATTTCGAAAATGAGAAGTTCACTAAGTAATTTCTGACGATTTAGCATCCCCAACACACTGTGAACCCAGCGTTATTTCGTCAAAATGCAATAGTTTCTCACATAAAGGTTAGTTGTAGGGGAAATAGAATAAGAAGATACTAGGTAGTAATTACGTGTTGATTCTCATCTACTTGAAATTCAGCGCAGGGACACAATTTTATCACAAGAAATAGAATCCAGCTATTGTTGCTAATACGGTACTTTAAAGCTTACTAATCAGATCCGAGCATGTCAGTTCTTCAGCTGTAGAAATTTTCGCTATTAATATAGGGTGTTGTTGGACTTGAAACTTGATATTACGGACGAACTTTAGTCTAAAGGCAAATCACCTACTGCGACTCCTAAATGTCATTGTATCATGTGAATTGTACTTCAGCATTACTGCGGTGTCCCAAACTAGAACAGAACAATTGTCTATCTTTTCTTGGTTTTCATTGGTTGTCTTTCCGTGATGCAAAACTCCAAATTTTCGTTACAACACGACTGTCATTCAGTAGCATCAGGAAGTTACTGATTCGCTCCTGAACTATGTCTCAATGTTGTATGTAGTAGATTAAAACTAAACAACACAGTTTGCTATGAACATTCTAATTGATACTGATAGCCTTGATATCCTAGCCTGTTCTATTTTACAGCTATAAATATGAATAAAAAAAATATTCAAAGATTGGAGAGTAGAACGCGTTATGCTTTTTTTTATCTTGCTACTTTTTCAAAATTAACACTGATCATTTCGTTTGTAACAAACAATATCTGTGGCAGGAAGATCCGTATAATTGGAGTACCCCATTTACGGGATTATTTATATTTGTAATGATTAGTGCTCAAGTAACAAAAGAACACAACAGTCATCATCAATCTTTTTGTACATTTAATTTGTGGCGTGTAATTCAACTAAGTTGTGCTATTCAACTACCTTACTAATTTTTAAGCCTAAAATTACTCACTTAATCTCTACCTTCTACATCATTCTAGGTTTTAGAAGAGGCTCGATTATTAGGTGAAACTCTTTCTAACTCTCCCAGTAATTATATCATTCATGTGTTCGATGCTCAATCGAATACAAAAATTATGAATTCTGCTATAAAAGAAATAGAACGAATATGTCCAAATAAAGCTGTAATGGTAATTTCTTCAGATCTCATTTCAAAGAAATTGACTGTTCTTTGTCAAGTCCCAAAAGTAAGCGATATTTTAAATTTAAAGGCCTGAACCTATGCGTTAATAAGGGTTAGATTAGAAAAATTTATTATGTTCTGGGTCATACAATTCAGATTATCACTTTTCTTATACGCTTACCCATCCACTTATGTAAGTGAAGTGACTGACAATTGACTGGAAAACTTAAGTCAGTGAACAGAATAAACGGGTAAATAAATCATTAGTGTATTATACATTTGTCCTTTTGACTCGGACAAGGATATATAGACCGAGATCTCTATTAAGAGTATAATTGGCTCCGTCCAATAGCGTGTCTTATCCATAGTATGACCCTGAGATGATATGTAACTAGACTCAGTCTAACGTGTTGAGAAGAAAAGAATTTTCATACCATCTATATCACCAGTAGCTTCATTCTGTTGTTGTTAACATTGAAAAGTTATCTGTTCCATCACCATGTAGGTCAACTTTTGATAGTTTATTGTACTCTTAAGTAATGGTGATATTTGACTAACTGAAAGGATGAAACGTGATTACACGATTACAGTATCACTAACATATCAACTGTAAAAAAGCAGCACTGCGCACATAAGCAGAGAGGAACAGACCAGTTTTAATGGGAATGATTTTATTGCCCTAATAAAGAATCGAAATAATTGTATTATCAATGATAGTGAAAAAGACTGAACAGTTCGAAAAGAATGGATAAATTTGATGGGTAAAAAATTACTAAATAATATTAAAGCTCACTAGGGGGGGGGTAGTTGAAGAAAACTCTGCATTATGTCAAGGTCTTCACCTAAGAGAATTTTATTATTCTAAATGAATAAGTCAATCTCATAATAGAAGGCCGATCTATAAAATCCAAGCATAGAAAGCATTATATTTCTAAACGGATCTGTATGAAGAAGTTAAATAGAACTCGAGAAATATCGGGATTCCTAACGAACACGAAATATAGGGAATGGAAAAGTATTTACTTCACTTCAATTTACAGGGGGGATTATTTAAGTCATTAATCTTTTCACATCAATCCCCATCTTATTAAGAATATTTTGGCTTGATACAGTGACACCAAATAAATGTAATCTTAATAAAGCACTGTGAAATAAACCATAAAATCTTCTTATGTTTAATGATTATGGTTGGTAGTGGAATCCAGGACAGGCGTTTTATCCTAACTAGTATTCGTTATCTAGGTGTATGTGCACCTCAGTGTTAACAAGTCAAAAATAGAGAAGCAAAATTCTCCTTGGTTTCCACCTCTGTTCATAACCTAATTTTACCATATATATAATGATTACAGTTAACATAATTACCTAAACAAAAAACTTGGATAATACACTGAATTTTCCATATCTTTATTTTTCTGCTCTCATTTCACATAGGTACTTGTTTCACATGGTTTAAAAGCTAATGAATGGGTTACACATATTAGTAAAACAATGGATGGAAAAGGAGGTGGTAAAGAAAGTTCAGCTCAAGCTGTTGGCAGTCGTATTGATACTTTAGAAGAAGTAATTCGTCTAGCTGATATATTTGCTAGTACAAAGTTAACTAACAATTAACAATGTTTCTATTGTAGTTATTATGTGTATACACATATCTATATTTATAAAATATAGGAATTTATAAATGTATTTATATGATGGAAAAGAAAAGAAAATTTGTTTTATAAAAAGATGTACCAGTGAATTAGTGACAAAGTAAACTAGCGTAAATAGTTTGTTATCATTTATATCGGATTAATTTGACTTGGTTTTTCTTTTTTCAAACAGACTGAATATAATAACATGGGAGCTTCACAATTTATATATATCACTTATAAAGTTGTGACAAGGTTCTAAATACATTTAAATCTATACGAACAATTTCTACTGTACTGTTAAAATATGTATAAATGTAATGCATACTGCATTTGAGATGAGATTGTCATGCCATTTCATTTATACTAATCTTTAAAATCCAAACATAGAAAGTATTCTATTTCTAAAAGGATCTATATGAAGAAGTTAAATAAAACTCCAGAAATATGGAGATTTGCACCGTTTTTCAGATGATATTTTCTTCAGAGTGTAACACTTACAGAAGAATGATGATATTCTGTTGTATTGTTGAGGAGCGACTGCATAATGATTACAGTGTTCGTCATACGGTCATTATGTTATGGGTTTATGAAGCATCGAGCATAGTCGCAGGTCCCAAGCCTTACTAGGTATAATCAGAGAAGAGGAAACTACTATGAAGCACAACTGGAAAAGAGTCAAAAAGCACTAACTTCCACATGTCAGGAGGTGCTGGATTGCAAGAAACATCATAAGGAATGAAACAAGAAGGGAGCAATTAATAACAGTCGAAGAAGAACAGAGAAACTCAAGGGACAGATTGAGTGCACAGAGAAGCAAATAAGAGAGTGGAGAGGAGCATTAGAGACGACAAGCGGAAATACGTGAAAGACCTAGCAGCGACGGCGGAAAGAGTTGTAAGAGAAGGAAATATGAAGCAATTATGTGATAAAATGAATAAACTAGGAGGGGAATTTGGTGAACCAGCGGGACCACTCAAGCACAAATAAGGCAAGCCAATCACTGAGATTCAGGGACATATGAGTGGAGCATTTTGAAGAACTCTTAACTAGACCAACCCACTGGAAATCGAAACAGCACACATAGACCTTCCCATAGATATCACTCCACCAACAATCGAAATCAGGATGGCCATCGGTCAAATCAATAGTGGGAGTTGGACGTAGTCCCATCTGACTGGTCGCAATCACTGATTGTCCCAATATATAAGGGGTCAAAATCATCTTGTGATCTTAAGTGGTGTCCGGCAAGGTTGTCCACTATTTCTATTTTTGTTTAATTTCATCATAGACCTACTGCTGGAAATAACGCTCTCGTCAACTGAATTTCCTGGCATTGATCTCCTACTGGGAGGTCCACTTATCGATTTAGAATACGCAGATGACTATTTGGTGAAGACGCTGATAACATGCAGTCTTTTGGTAGCACTGAGTAACAATGCCAGGATGTTTGGGATGTGTTTCTCCCCTGGTAAATGCAAGTTGTTGCTTCAGGACTGACCTGCGTCAACACCTGAACTAAGGGTAGGGAGTGAAGTAGTCGAACGCGTCGACAACTTTACTTACGTTGGAAGTCTGATCAGCCCTAATGGGTTGCTGTCTGACGAAATCTCAGCACGGATTCGAAAAGCTCGCTTGGCTTTTGTCAAATTACGTCACCTATGGCGAAGGCGAGATATCCGTCTATCAATAAAAGGATGAGTATACTGCACGGCAGTTCGTTCTGTTTTAATTTACGGCAGCGAAACATGGCCTTTAAGAGTAGAAGACACTCGTAAGCTACTAGTATTTGACCACAGATGCCTTAGAAATATTGCTGACGTCTGCTGGGATAACCGGGTAAGTAATAGTGAGGTTAGATGCAGGGTATTAGGGAATGATGGTAAATCAGTTGATGAGGTTGCGAATCTCGTGTTGGAGACAGATGGAAGAAAGTTAGGAGCGACGAAACCAAAACGTGGCGTCATTGCTTGAAGTCACTAACCTCTGATCTGAGCCATGTTGCTGAATGCAGACTACTTGGCTGGGGTCCGCGCGACTATCGTAACCAGTGGTTGGAGACATGCTTAGAACCGATCACAATGTTGTGAGGATTTGTCTGATGGCGATCCTGATTTCTTCGACTGTTAGTGGCGTGACCACTATGGTAAGATCTGTGTGTGTTGTTTCAATGTCTGTTGGTTTGATCTATTTAGGAGTTTCTCAGTGTTCTGCCCGCATGTTTGGGACCTTAAGGGAGTTTATAGCCTTACTAATTTACAGATGCGTGAAAGAAAAATGAACTATATGGAGTGACCAATCATATACATGACTTTCGAGTCAGTGATTTAAGAATTTTTAATTGTTTGCAGAAATATCATTGAAAAGTTTTGAGATGGCTTTAAAGTTGCTTATGAATGTCATTATACAGGACGCATGGTATATCTACGTTTTGAGATGAGCAAACGCGTTTAGTGAAAAGAAAGATTTTGTACTTTCGAGCCATTATTAAGTGCTAAAAACCCCTAATTAATAGTTTCTAACTTATTTCAATTTCGTCGAAATTTATGGTTGATTTTGCTACTGTTGTCAAGTCATTTAATTCGAGCTTCCTAATAAATTACGATATTTAACGGATATAAGTGTTTCGCTATGCTTAATAGTCCTGTACGTCTTCAGAGATGCACAGCAAACTAAAAACGAGTTTGTGATCTGATAGAATGTGTCAGTGGTATCCACAAAACTATTACTTAAAAAGGTATTTCAATCAGTAACTTACCATAGTATGCAGAAGGTCCCAGTCAGAATCCCTATACAGTGGATTTTTGTATGGGTTGGTTACGAGAGGGGCAGATATGGAGAACACTAACTACTATTTTATGCTGATTGCTTTCACATTCATTGTATACTTGTATAGATAGTGGGATATCTCGTTATAAAGTGGCAGCTTAGGCAGACGCACATTTGTCTCAGGCCAAAAGCTGACTATGACGCTTCATTTCTTGATCAGTATGTGAGATGGTGGGGATTTGAAGCTCAAGTGGAAAAAAAGGTACACTCCATCTGAGTTACAAATCTTCACCATCTCAAAATCATATGAGCGTGATACGCTTCTTGTTGTTTGAAAATGGGAGAATTTCGCCGAAAGGCAGGCTTCCACTCGAAAACAACTGTATTTTTCGACGAGTGTCTTCGCCAGCATGTTTTACCAACTAGTGTAAAATATAGACCTCCAATCAACTGCCAATTGAGATGGAGGATAGCTGAGCAAAGTGGAAGAAAAGTTGATCAGTATGTCTTACAATTGATTGTTTCAAGCAAGCAGAAAGTAAGAACCTAATATCTTCGATACAATCATTTCTTATGATCTTGACACCATTTAGTTATTTATTATCAGCTTAAATTTTCTGCCAACATCCAACATGGTATATTTAATGAACAGAGAAAGCGTTAAATTTTGTTATAAACTACAATTTTTTATCGCATAAAAAAAGTAGTATACAATAAATATTTAAAAAAACTTTTATTTTGCAAATACAGACCAAACCAAAAATGAATTACACAGTTTCTTATATTAAAGAGCAAAACAAAAAGATGATAGGAGAGAAATGATCACAGAGCACAAATGAGGGATTATCAAATCATTTAGACATACAGGCCGATTTCATTCATTATTATAAACTAACATGTAGATGATCAAAGACCATCAAATTATTAAGAACGATTTGATCGAATTACTAACCCCTGGTGTTCAATGCCTATTTCTGTAACCTGTAGAAGATAAATAACAAAATGACTGATTTTAAAAAAATAAGTAATTGAAATCATACGATAAAATTGTGTAGCACCATGATTCTAGATCTTAAAAAAACCATTTTGGAAAAAGGTTGGTGTTATGCGATGTAAACTTGTTTGTCATCTGCAGATTAATGTAATGGACTTAAAGTCATACTGGTTGTTTGAGTACTACTGATACTATTCAGTTACGTAACCTGTCATAAATGAAGCTGGGGTTCAAACCTACACATTACTTGTCGAAGAAGATTGAGAGATATGATAAAGCACCTAACGATTTTACGGTGATGATTGTACTAATGTTAATTTTCACTAGAAAATATATATATGAGCACATAGATGGAATCACAAATCGAATAAATAAGTCCTTACTTACAGATTGAATAACAAAGATGGCTAATTTACTGCTCAACTTGATAGTTTATAAAATTTTTAATTAACTTGTATGTCACAGCTTGACTTATTCTAATTCAGAAAACAATTCATATGATGTTGATGGATATGTTGATAAGTAAAAGGAGATTTATTTTATAATAGTGTTACAATTTTTCTTAAACTGGAATTTCAAAAGTGATGATCCATTCTTATGAGTTCTTTACCTTTATTTCACAAATGATCAAACTGGTAGTTGGGAAGCTCAGAAATGGATTTTTGCTAAGCCATATATATATATATATATATATATATATATATATATATATATATATATAGAGAGAGAGAGAGAGAGAGAGAATCACATGAACTGTATATTTGCTTACCCCAGTTACACGGCATAGTTGACCCTTCATCGTTGGTACATAGTATGCTCCGCTTAGAGGATCACGTACAGAATCTTTACCACTGAAAAAAAAATACATGAAAAACAAAACTGCAGATAACTTGTAGAAAATCAAATGTCATAAATCAAAGAAAAAGTTAAATGTTCATCTTCAGAGATTAGTAAATAGATGAATCAACACTTTTATTTACTTAGTGAACTAAGATGTCTATTGGATCGTCCAATGTTTAGATATAGTTTGCTGATTCATTTCACAAGAAAGCACGTTCTTAACATTAGATACATCGAAATAAAAATATGAAATGACAATTATTTCTGGAAAAACTACAATAAGTTCCTATTTGCCTTTCATAGAATAGTGGTTATCAACGATTAAAGATACCTTTATTCATATAGAATTGATCTTTGTCGTATTTATTTTCTATAATCTTCTAAATATCTACTTGAACATTATTCCTTGATTTCTACTTGGTTCTCGTTTGTTTCGCTAACACCGCAGTTCTTATGTTTGGATTTTCATTACAGTTCATATTACTACCTTATTCTTTTTGCTTCTCAACTCAGCGGTAGTTTCCTTTTTTTACTGTGCTGGTAGACATTTATACCATAGGGATTTACGTTACTCATATTTGATTGTGATAGATTGCAAAAAATATAATTCATGATTACTAACCAACAAAGGAGAACTACAAAAAAAGTTTATAATCAAGAAGTATCTAAAGAGGAAAATAATTTTTTTCACTAACCGATAGATAGGAGTATAAGTAGCAGCACATATATCGAAAGGATTTAGAGGATCATAACTTAATGCATGCGAATCTTCATTTGGTGTT